TGCCATCTTTGCCTTTGTAGTCAAGATCCATTTTTTCTTCTTACTCGGAAATGCAAAGATAGTTCTTCAGTCATCCGTTCCTCGACTTGTCTTCTTGTTATCTTAACCAATTCTAGACTGATCTTTTTAGACATTAAGAAAATACTTCAGAAAAAAGTAGGTTGAAAGTTTTTGTTGTTTTCTTATCATTAAAAAGTACAAGGACATAAACACGTACACTGCCCTTAGAGGCATGTGTTTCAATGTCGTACAGTTAGTGGAAACAGTGTTCCTACGGTAGAGAGAAAAATACTTAAAAAATAAAAGTCATTATTGCTCAAGGAAGAAAGACAAATGTTTTTTCTTTACTATTCGACAGTCATAAGTCTCAGCTTTATTTGTTGTTACTACCGTATTTTTATTTCAAGTCCTTCTCGCAAAAGGCAGCAGCTTTTTAACTTTGATTTATTTGTGTTTTTTTCGCTGAATAAACGTTTGTATGATCACTCTTTTACGTCTGTTTTGATATTTATCGTACAAATCGAATTTTTGTTTATATTCCAAATCCAGAGTCAAGTTTCGGTTACACGATGAAAGGAAGAAATTATCAAAAAAAAAATAATGATGTCTGATGTAGGGCTGTGACAGTTACCAGTTACTGTTACCACCGTTACTCGGTAACTGTCACAGCCCTAGTCTGATGGATGAAAATTGTGTTTCTAATTAATTAGTTAAATCTTAAAGAAGAAAATTTATTTTCTCTCAATCTAAAATTTATTAAAAAATAATTTTAAATATACCACTGGATAGCGCTTGAAAAACTGCATATATCTATTGTAGTTTCATTAAAATTAAAAATGAATCTCATGTCGTTTAAATCGACTTACTTCACTCACTGACAACATCCTGAGTAGGACTCACTAGTCGTCTTCCAATCTATCATGAAAGTATAGATTTTTGAACAATTGGTAGAAATCATCGTTCTTGATTCTACTCTCTATTTTTAATAACTTTTATTTCTCTCAAGTAATTAGAAAACTTGATAGAAACAAACAGACAGAAATTTATAACAATGTCTACATGACGCAGCGGTTTAAAAGCCCGCTATAGCCTGATAAAATGAAACACCAAAGGGAACACATGAATGCGCAATTCATTGAGATGAATTAACAACAGAGCCAGACGGATCACTATCAGCTTGAAACCTTGTTGAAATTGTCAAGCGATACGTCCTGTCGAAATAAGTATCCGAACACACTGATTAGTATATATATATATATGAATAGAGAGAAATATTAGCATCACTCAGCGATTGCATGAGACATAGTATTAGTGGCGATTGATCATATGACAAAATGGCCGATTGTAGAAGCGGTTTGCCACAACACTCATGAAGTTGTGACCATACTCATTCATGACGACATTGTAATGAACATTCATAAGTTAATTGTAATAAAGTATAGTAAATATATAACACTACTCTCTAAAAGAAAAAGGTTCATTACGAAACTTAAAAGGTATAGAGAAGTGCAACCATTTGTAAACCCTTTTAGGTTTCGTAGACACGCAGTGAGTACATTTGCTTATTTCGTTATGTTTTTTCCTCATGATTTTTTCTCGAAAAATCAAAAATTATAGAAGTTTAAAGTGTCTTTTTGGCTTAGTTTTCGCCCGCTCTATACAATGAAAAGACGCCTAATCTTCTGAAGTGGTCCACTTGCTCAGAAAAAAAACTCCTTAAATTTATGCACTTAAACGGTTTCTTACTGCACCATGCCTTCTACGACACCTAAAAGGGTTTAGAAATAGTTGCACTTCTCTATACCCTTTTAAGTTTCGTAATAAACCTTTATTTATAGAGTAAAATAATTTGTATAAGACCGCAACAAAATACATATTAAGAATTTTAACCAAATTCAATAATTTTATTTGTCGATTTCGAGCTTTCGGTACTGACTCGTACCATTGTCAAGAAATAAATGACAACAAAACAATTTACATTCTCTGTATATCCCAAAATGTGACTCTTTTGCTATTTGACATATCGGAAGAACAGAAAAAGATAGAAATTAGCCTGTTATTCGAATCAGTACTTTCGACAATCACTACCACTGATAATATTATTAACATTAACTCAAATGTTACATCTTCTCAAGGTCTAATAAACCTTCTTCCACTACCACAAAGTAACTCTATTATGGATCCTTCATTAAGTAGAATATTATCTCAACGTCAAAAATTCTGCTGTCTATGCTCAAATTGTCAATCAGGCTCATGATTTCTCAAAATTATCTGTTGATATTTCAATTAATACAGACTCTATCGAGTCATCACAAGCCAATCAGTTTGAAGTATTATCGTTAAAATATAAATAACCATTTTTGAATAAAGAACGTCCATGGTTCGAAATGTCAACAACTAATACCGATTCAAATCACAAATCGAAACATATTAATTATATACATTCACGCCAACAGACTCAAATTTCCAGTACATCAGTACTCTTAACAAAAAATTCTAATATTAGAAACGATTTACCACCTGAAACAGTTTATAAAAATGAGCTTAATCGTAAAAAACGATTTGAGAATCATTTAGCAATATTAAAGTCACACAAAACACATAATTCATTTCCAACAGCATTATCAGCTATGCCTCATCCAACCATTGGTAGTGATTCAGAAGAATTTGTTAAAGAATGGAATGATATATTGAATCAATATCGACATAAATTGATGGATATTACGACTCAATATTTAAATGATACATTAGATGAAACCAAAGGTAAACTAGATTCTGTAATTCCTTTCATCGATCAAAATAAACATTTAGAAATTGAGCCATTAGTTGATAAACAATTAGATAAATTTATAGAAAAAAGCTGATGCAAAATGATTCGACATACTTTTAAATCATCGAAACCATTGAAACAACAACCGCAAAATAAGAATAGAATATAATTCATAGATGAATTTCCAACCATTAATCATTTTAAAGATATTACAAAAAAATCTTCGATATCTAAGCGTGAGCAACAATGACAACGTAAAAATAAAAAAATAATAAAAATAAAAAAATTCAATTTAAATTAACAGAAGAAAACCCTGTATCTGCTACTACTATAATACAACAACCCGATACTTCGCTATCTTCTGTCAATAAACGATCACCACCGACACAACAACAAGAGCAACAAAAACAAATTAGTTCGAATTCAACATCTACTTATTATCGAAATCGTCGTCGATATTTTCCATCTTACTATTATAATAATTATTATTATGATGATAATTACAGATATAATGACTCTTATCCATATAGGTTTAATAGTTATAATTATCGTTCATCTCCAAATTATTCTCGTTATAATAATAATAATTATTTTTATAATCAGCAGCAACGACGACGACAATCACAGATACAATCTGTGTTCACAGATTGTTTCTTCCGTTGGTAAGGTGACGCTTGCCGTATGTGAAGAAAACAGTCATGCTTGAACTTTCAGAGAATGTATATCCGAAGATATTATCGCTAGGATCAGTTCGTTATTAGAGTCAATCTAATATTCTGTGAATGAGGCGGAATGGCTGAGCCCCAATCCTCTGTGCGTCAAACAGGACCGAACTGATCTTTGCTACATCCTGAGAGTCACTAACAGCAAAGCGATCTTACACTGAGGATACTCACAATTGTTGTAAAATACATCAACCTTTGATGCATTTCTCACTTCTGTGCATTTTTATTTCAAGACCTTCGCACAGTAAACATCGATTGAGAAAAAAACACAGAAGTCCTTAGATATAGTACACTTTCTGAGAAAGAAGGCTGGTTTCTGATATACCCAACGTCTGAAGAAAAATTTCAAGTGTGCAACATTAAAATAAAAAGGATTTATATGTCCCTATTCTCTCACTCACTGCAACTGCCGCGTACTTACTACGTAAATTAGTTAATTTTTTGCTTCAGTCTTGCTTTAGAAAAAGTTAAAAAGAACTGAACTGAAAAAAACTAAACTGCAAAAAGTTCGAAGATAAAGTGATCTTCGCACAGAGCCTCGTATAACAGACACTGCTTTTGCGTTTCGCCTGAAATTATAAGAAAAACGTCGATATCTACAATGTGTGTATATAAAAAAAGATGGCATCGTCGATAGAAAAAAAATAAGAAATAAGCACGCTACTATATAACTGAAATAAAGTATCGCGATAAACTCCAACAGATTTTTATCGAGTATTATCGTGATAAAAGGGTCATCTGACAAGAAGCTAAAAGTATCGCGATTAAATTTTTATCCCGATGAATGAGGAGATTAATTTTCCCGTGTTTCGTCTCGATATGAAAGAACATATATGTTGTCTGCAAAATGAAACGTTCCGCAGCTCTGAGCGAATCTTGATAACCGATGTATAGCAATTCTCCAGGATGCTCCAACATCTGTTTTTAGCTGATGCATACCTAATCTGATACAGTCAAAAACTATATGCTCTTATATTAGTCAATGTGTGTTAACACAAAAGCATAGACGATAGTTGTGAAATAGTTACTTAAAACGAGTATGAAATGCTGATTTCAAATATCGTAAAAACGTATGTAAACTTCCCCTAATTTAAATAAAAATTATTTTCAAAAGTGATATATTATTTTTGCAAAGTATTGCACACTAATACGTATTTGACTTTATTCCATCATCCTCCACTGAAAGAGATTGTTCGATTAGTTCTCTGAGCATCAACTGGATAGGATCGCCAGCGCTATTTGATGCAATTGATCTTTTTTCGATTAGAAAACGAGATACAGCATTTTGACGTTGTAACAAATGCAATAACTCCGTAGTTCCACTGTACAAGGCTATATCCAATGGGCTTGGACGAAGTGGATTTCCACCGTCAACATCAGCATTACATTCTTCAAACAAAAATTTGGTTAGTTGATAATTATTGTGTGCCACAGCGTAATGCAATGATGAATCACCCCATAGCTACCGAGAAAAAGATAGTGGTTACTTAGGGAAGCCGTCAAAAATAATGAAATGCGTAGAACGTAGACGTAGACTATATTTCTACGCATTGAAAAATCTATACGTAGAATATATTTTTCTATGCGCAGATATAGATGAATATTGCCTTTCGCCTTTCTTTTTCTCTTATTTTGCAAAAAGAGAAAGAGAGCGAAAAACCTGTTATAGGTACAGAATGGAAGAAATTTTCGTTTTCTATTATCAACTGCACAATCCAATTTAATCTAAAGTTGAATGTGATTTTCTAACGAACGAAATGGATGAGAATAAATTTTATCTTTTAGCGGAGATGTTGATCTACTCTTCTACAGCAGAAAAAACTGTGAATTTACCCTATATTCTGTCCATTTAACAGGCCAAAATTAACTTAATTAGAAAGTATCGATATGTATAAGTCGTACAAGCTTGAAGTACATCTGTTGCACATGACATTAAGCTGTTTTTTGGAAGTGAGTACTGTCTAGTTTCTGAGATATATGTCTGTCAATATCGGCGATTAACGGTTAAAAAGTCATGGTTCTTTCGTCTTCAGTTAGATAAACTCTTTTTGACAACCGTGACTTTCCAGCTTCCTCTTCGTTTCATGATAGTCAGGGATAACGTGTGTGCAAATTTTACTTTTTGGATAATCAGATTAATTTTTAGGAAAAACAGCAGAGTACTCTGCTGTGCTTACTTTATACTGCTTTGTTTTTTATCCTGATCGGGATATAGCTATATCTCAATCGGAATATAGGAGGTGTCCCTTACTGTTAGTAACTTGTTATGTTTTTTAGAAACAAAGATAATGTTGACATTTCCGGCGGAATAAAAACAGGCTGAAAGGTAGTCTATCATGTAGCCTATGAAATTCTGTATCAGATGTTCTGTTGCTTGCATTCTTTTGTTCAGTTGTTATTTTATTACCACCGGTGAATCACATATTGGCGAGTATGTTAGTTAATCACCCTTGGTGACACTTCACTTTTAATGCAGTAAGGCTCTAAAAGCTTATTGCTTAGTCAATATGCTTCGTTG